GATTCACATATTGAAACACACACTCGGATAGTACTTAACTTAATTCACTTCGTTCTTAGTGTGCTTTTAAGTCTTATCCTCATTATTATGTCTTAATTAGGGCTTAAGAATGCCTAGAATGCAATGAGGATGCCAAAATGTGATTCACAACACTTAGTCAATTATGCTAAAAATAGGGGTCTCGCTTGAGTGCAACTTCCCTCGCTTGAGCAGATGTTCAAACATGTGAGTGGTCGCTCGAGCGCAACTTCCTTCGCTCGAGCAGTTTGTAAAACTTTGCAAAAGTATTAGTTGCTTGATTTTTTCACTCGACGCACGCTCGACAGTCTCTCAAGCGTGAGATCGAAATCCTCACTCGAGCGCAACTCTTGTCGCTCGAGCGGTTTGCAAAAATGGTAAACTTCCTGGAGTATGCATTTTACGCTCGAGCCAACTTTTGGTCGCTCGAGCGAAAGTGCAAAATACAGAGTGGTCGCTCGAGCACAGGCTCTGTCGCTCGAGCGGAGAGACAGAATCTGGAATTTCCAGATTGCTCTTTCAAGTTCGAAACTCAAATTCAAAGCTGCAAATAATGGTCTTTTAGGCCAAAAACTTGAGAAAATACTTGTAAACTGATAAAGCATGGTGAATTCAAAATCATTTTGCAAAATTAAGCCCAAAAGCTTTGTCAATTGTTCAAAACTCAAACTTAAAATTGTGAAAACTTATCATTACATATCATGTATGTAAAGATACAAGTTCAAAACTTTCAAAACGTGATCAAACGAAGTGTTTAACTAAAAAACATGTTGAATTCTTAAAACAACGCCAAAATGAGGACATGCAAGAGGAAATTCTTTGAAGTCAACTTCAAAATCATGAGAATTATACATGCATGCATGATACGCTCCTAAATCTATTTATCTAAGCTTGGTTCTTCCATTACACAACTTAGTTCCTTGAATTCAAGTGTTAAGTGACTCAATTCCAAATCTCAAAGGTTGAATTCTCACCTTAGATGATCAATGATGCTCTAAATGATCAATTGTTTGAAGTTCCAAGTCAAAAACTCCAGGTTCTCTAGCAATCCTCTTAATTGGAGCTCTCTCTCTCTCTCTCTCTCTCTCTCTCTCTCTCTCTCACGTTTTAAGCATGAAGATGAGGAAATGGAGGTGTAAACTAAAGGCCTAAGTCAACAATGTGCCTTATATAGGCTTAGTTAATGGAGCTTAATTAATTGGAGTTAAAGATAACTAAATGGGATTAATTTTATTCCAATTTATTCGTTCTGAATCGAATTTCAATTGAACCTATCATGATGTTCTAAAAAATTTCAAATAGCACATAAATCAAGTCAATTTTGTGATCAGATGCCGATAAGGCTTTCAATTCGCAGAACAAAACAGAAATACAAACAAATGTTCCTACCATGAACAGATATAAATACAAATAACATATAACACATGCAATTAACGCAAAATTTCCTCTTAATTACTTATTAGACATTCTTAATCATGGTTTAACAGTTAATCACAGGCCGGAATTGTTACATTAGTGTAACTTATAAGTTGCTTTTATCAGCTGTTAACTTATAAAAAATGAGTGTTTTGTTTAATGGGATTAGCTTATGGCTTAACACAGCTTATTTTGGCCACAAATAAGCTGTTTATTGCAACCACCGAAGGAGATGCTTCTCAGCTTATAGATTTACGCGAAAAGCTATGTTAATGGGTGAAATTATTTAAATAACCCTTGGATTTTGCAAGAATTACAACTGTGCCACTATATAAATCCTCCAACCATTCATTTCACAGCTTCTTTCTGTCTCTTTCTCTCTCTCTTTTTCTCTATACTCTCATTTTCTCTAGTTTTGTCTTTTGACTTGGCAACATGACTTGCCGATGACTACCGAAGATGGGTGACGATCGGTCGACAACTACTTAAGAAGGGTGACAACAATCAGATATGTGTAAAGAAGGCAACTCGTTGCCTAGATGACAAGATGAACTTGTCGATGATTTTGGTTCAATTCTTTACTATCTTTGATCCATTTGCTACAAATTTGGGTTTGATTATTTTGGATCACAACCACCAAATAGATTTCGGTTTTGATTTCTACTTTGCTTATTACGATGGTGGTTGTTAATCTGTAGCAATTTATGGAAGAATCCAATCCACAATTTAAGGTTTTTGTAATGATTTTGAAAAGAAAAAATCCACTTTACGAATAGGGTTTTATGCAGTTCATGATGCTCTAGTCATGGTACAATAGGAATTCAATCCATGTTAAATCAGACCCAAAAACTATTGGGTACATGAATAGTACAAATTGTAAAGAAACATCTCATTATATGGCAAAATATAATCTTACTATGAGACATGTTCTTTGGAAGGAAAGTTTTTTTTCAAAGTTTACCCAAATACCCAGATTGAAATCTTCCTGTGTGTAAAAAATTTATGGAAAAAGTTTTGAAAATGAAAATTTTAAAACAATTTAATTCTCACAATTTTCTCATTTCTTGTAAGGGCAAAATGATAATTACACAATGAAAAGTTAGTATACAACTTATTCTAACAAGCACTACCTTCCAGCTTATATGTATAATCTAACATCTACACCAAATAAGCTAACAACTTCTGTTTAAAGTTATAATTTATAATCTGATAAATTATAATCTAATAATCTAATTCAACAGTTACACCAAACAACCTGATATCTCTCGACCATCCTAGTTTTTTAACATTTGACAAATTCGTAAAAGAATTAACTTAACAAATATGGAAAACATAGACTTGTACTAAATAAATTAGAAAAATACAGGATATAAGCTAAAACATAATTACTATGACATAATCTAATATGAACATATTATGAATAGATGTGAATCACTATTATTCTATATATATTACGGATTACAATAATATAATATTCTTAAGTATCCAATTTAAAGTACTTTCTCAATTTTCACTCTTTATTTTGGGGGTTTATCTTTTCTGAAGTTGTCATCTCAACTTAAGAGAGCGTTTGTGCATGATAGGTCAATTTTGAATCCGATTTCGGCGATCTAAACAGTTCATTTTTTTTGGACTCGTTAAATAAAATGTCAATGCAAAAAATAAGATGATTGTATATTGGTAATTACATGTTTGAATCATATTTATTTAAAAAAAAAATAGACGACTAATATAATTTCAATAATAACAATTCATTTTTTACATGAATATTTCACTTAACGAGATCTAAAAAGTGAACCATTCAGATCATTGAAATGAAATTTGTGGTTGGTTCCACGGCCCCTCAAAGTCTCTCATATAGAAATATGAATACAAGAGAAACTACATCATTATTTTGGTATAACATTAATTATATTATAATAATTCAACTATAACGTTATTTGTTTAGAGGTCTAAGTTTGCAAATCATATTTATTGTCGCAAACTTCATTTTTGGTATACATATACTCGAATTTATCTTTTCAGTTACAAAAATACTTCAAAGTTGCCTCAATCCTTTCATTTTGGACTCATTTATTTACACATCCTATGATCATGCTTCCAAATAAACCTTTTTGGAAACTAATTTCATCCTCTCCCCATTTTGTTTATCATAAAATATAAAAAAGTTATAAAGAGATCATTTTCCTTTTTCTCATTTCCTTACTTATTTTGTTAGAATAAAATGTAGTTTAATTATTCACATTTTTATTTTTATTCTGAAGTATATGTTTATCCAATCTGCAACACCCCCCCCCCCAAAAAAAAAAAAAGAAAAGAAGAAGAAGAAGATAGACTTAACAATTAATTAAAATAGTTTAATAAATTTTGCATTGTAAAAATTAGTGAGTATCAATTTTAACTGAATTCAATCATCTCAAAATAATTAAACGATCATTTGTATTAAAAAAAAAAAATTAATCGATCACAGTGCATTTCAATGGTAGAAAAAAATTTAATTGAGTGTTTGATTTTAGATAAAGTAATTACTCTAGCAATTGTCAAATAAATTGCTACAAGGGAAAAATTATCTGTAGTTTGAAAAAGCTCCCTTCAAATAAGCATCTAAATTCCATTTTTAAAATATTTGTGAGCTTATTTTGAAATTCAAGATGAAACTATAACTACTTTATTTATTTATTTATTTTGGCATAAAAAGTAAAAAACTAAGAGGAAACTTGAAATTAAAGGAAAATAACTCAATATTCACAGAATTCGAATAATTTATATTACTCAAATAAAGCAAAATTCCTATGCGGGTGTAGGAATCACATTCAAATGTGAATTCAATTTTAATAGATAATCAATAATCATGTTTTTTTTTATTATGATTAATTCTAAATCTTAAAATGAAGAATCATATTTTCTTTCCCTCAAAATTTTTAGGATAAATTACAAAAGCACTCATTAAAATTTACTTAAAATACGAATTATTTCTTATAATTTTGAAAATTATAAATATTCAATTCTTAAAATTTTTTATTTAACAGAATTAACAAAAAAGAAAAAGAAAAAGAAAAAGAAATTATTAACTACTTTTCTATATAGCAATAAAATTATCAAAATTATTAATTAAAATATATTTCTGATATCATAAAAAAACTATTAATTGTTTTAATAATTTATTAATAAAAAAGAGTTATTTGTTATGTGATTAGAATTTTAAAGAAGTAAAATGTAACTTTTAAAAATACAGAAAAAAATTATATTTTAAAGAAACTTTAAGAAGTGTATTTATTATTTATCAAAAATTTTCTCATCCAATATCCATACACGTGGCACTCATTCCGATTCTCCTTAATCTACAATCGGTGCAGGGGATCACAAAAGTGATATAATTAAGGAGAGTTAAATGTAGATAAAAGATTTTGGAGATACAAGTGTCACTTGTTGTACCTCTCCATGTGTGGATTATTTATTATTTTTTCTTCTCCCAGTTGGACTAGTTCTCCCACAATTAATTAATTACCAGATTAGCAAAAATCAAACATTTTACTAAACTTAAAAAACACTTTCCTTGTTTTTCCCTCTCTTTTATTTCATTGTCCCACTATATTCAAATCTCCTCTATCTGATAGACACACACACATATTCTGTTGTTATGCAATAATAGAAATTGATTGCAATGGCCGAACATTCGGTCTCCGACGATGATCTCTTCGAACTCCCTCTTTATAGTCCCTTCGGAAGCGTCGAACGCGGTGGTCACAGTGATTTGGGTGCCCCCAACTTCCTCAAAATTGATAGCAAATGGCTGATCGATCCTCGCCACCTCTCAATCGGCTCTATGATCAGCGAAGGCCCCTACTCTGTCGTCTATGAAGGATCGTACGTCCCCTTTCTCACTGTAACCTCGTTTTAGTAGCTGCTTTTCTTGATCATTTTTGTTTTTTATTTTTTTATAATTCCATTTCATCTTGAAGCTTTAATGTAATTGAATTCTCTTGCATTTGAATTGTACCAATCATTGAATTTTATCTCTGTTTGATTTGATTTGTGTTTTTGTAGTTTTCCAAATTTGAGTTTGATCGTGATAAACTCCTCTGGTAGTGGGTTTTATTCCATTTCATCTTCAAGATTTAATGTCATTGAACTCTCTTGCATTTGAATTCTATCTTTATTTTGATTTGATTTGAGTTTTTTTTAAGGCCACATTTGAGTTTGATTGTGATAAACCCTCTAGTAGTGGGTGATTTGCGTTACGTTTATGCGTGGTATTTAACTTCAAAAACAATGTTCTATGCTTTGTGGGTTTTGTTTTGTTTGCACTTTTTGCTTGTTGGAATTTGGGCAAGATGATCATTTGATTTGGGTATGAGAGTCTTAATGGATCAAAACTTAATCGCCTCAACAAAAACAAGACGATGAAAAACTATCATGCCATGAATATGAGAAATATTCTAGATGCTTTGTTGAAACTTTGATATGTGTTAGAAAAGAACATTTTAAGGCTGACGTTACAAAGAAAAGAAAATTAGAACTTTTATACACTCGGTGGTTGTACGCTTGATCTCTTCTGTTTTTTATTTTTGGTAGGCAAGTCATAAGTTTTATACCAAAAAATAGATATTACAATGAGGCTCATTATATGCCCTGAGGCAAAACACCCTTTGAGGAGGGAAACACAAGCCTAGCTTCTACACTAAAATCTAACAATAACAAACTCCAAAGTTAGGCCAAGCAACAATCAACTAGGAGTCTTACAACTTGATTTCTTAGACTTGATAGAGAGGCTAACCTCTTGAGCAAGTTTAAGAATAGCAATTCTTTTAAGGAGATTTTTCTTGGTTTCCACTTTCGAAGATGGGTTTGTCCATGGAACAACGAAAGTTCCATCCGAAAGGGATTGTGGAGCTCCTTTGGAACGTGAAGATCGTCTAGGGGCTAACACATTTATATTACCCACATCCCGACAATTTCTTTCTCTTCCTTTGAAGCCTCTTCATTCAAAATATCTTTCTCTTCCTTTGAAGCCTCTTCATTCGGAATATTTTTTTGAGGGGTTACTCACTTCCAAAGAGGAGCAATTCGCATTAAGCACGCTATTAAGATCTGCACAAAAAGAAACTTCCTCATTGGCTACACAAGTATTGAGAATATCAAATGCATTCGATGAAGATGGAGGAGGTGTAGGAACAAAGTTACCCATAGGAGCATTAATGACGTCCTTGCCTTTTTTCTTTTTCACTTCAACCCATTCACTTGGCTTGGCTTCCTTCTTTGTCTCGACCACTTCTTTGGCCTTCCACTCTTGTTTGAGTTTAATAGGAGCTTGAGTTATCGGTTTACTTGGACACAAACTTGTAGCATGACAAAATATTTTGCGTTCTCCACACACTTGGGGTTTCTAAGGAACTTCCACTTTGATTTTGAACGGTTCTCCATATCATAAGTTTACAACAAAGGAGGGTCGAATCTCTTTAGTAGCTTCTATCTCAATACAAACTCTAGCGAATGTTAACCGGCTATGGTTTTGGGTAAATTCATCAAGGTACAATGGATTACCGACAAAACTTGCTATGTAACTCAATCCCTCCTCAATCCACAGTTCAAGTAGCACATTGAAAAATTGTACCCATATCGGCACACTGGACAAGACATTTTTAGTAAGAGTCATACTGGGGTGCCATTTCTTAATAACAATCAATTTGCTCCCAATATATTAAGGACCCTCATCAAGAATGGACTTTAAAGCTTCTTCATTTTTCATCTTGATTACAAAGTAGCCATTATCTAAGGTAACAACCTCTTCAAGATTTTCCTACCACAACTTGTAAGCCCAAGTCTTCACTTGGAAGAAAGACAATTTTCTATCAATAAAATAACCCACAAGAGCATGGATTATATATTTGTAATCTAAGGAAACGTATTTTTGCAATCTATCCTTGCATTCTAAGAATATGGACACTTCTAAGAAGGTAACGCGTCGCAGTTTAAGGCTGATGTTACAAGGAAAAAAACTAAGAACTTTTATACACATGGTGGTTCTATGCTTGATTTCTTCTACACCTTTCTTTAGTGTGGATTATATTTTTGTAATCTAAGAAAACTTATTTTGGTAATCTAAGGAAATGTATTTTTGTAATCTATCCTTGCATTCTAAGAATACAAACATTTCTAAAAAGGTAACGTGTCATGTTGAACATTGACATGACACTCGTTGAACACTATCCAACACTTATACGCACATAAAGCACACACAAAAGCACTTTACAAAATTTGAATAAAACAACTTGAAATCCAATGATAAAATAAAAACAATGTAAATTTATACATATACTCCTCCTAAAGACTTTAAAAATTATTATATTTGATTTAAGTATTCATATATATGATATACAATAATTATTTATAATTATACTTGAAATAACAAATATATAAAATTCTATATTTTTGCACGTATTCCCCACGTGTCGTATCTTATATTTTTAATTTTGTGTGTGTGTTTGTGTAGTGTCACATATCTGTGTCCGTGCTTCTTAACTTGCATTGTATAGGTTCTATATCATTTAGCCATACTATTATTACAACTTACAAGAATTTCTATGGTAATGGACATAGATTGACCTCCTTTAAATTTTAGAGGTTCTATAACTTTTATCCTAAACATTATTACATATTACTAGAATTTGTATCATAACTAACACAGGTTGACCACATTCTACAGTAATGGACATGGATTGACCACTTTCTACTATAAATGACATGGATTGACCAGTGACCATATTTATGTTGAACAGGTTTTATACCTTTTACCCATGACATTACTACAAATTACTATAATTTATACCGTAATGGGCATATAGATTCAAGAGTTCATACTACCCAGATTAGTTATGACGTGTGCAACCTAAGAAATACGGACACTTGTAAGAAGATAACGTCTGTTAGATATTGGCATGACACTTATTGTACACTTTTCAACATGTAGACACACATAAAAACATATTATAAATTTGAATAAAATAACTTCAAATACAAAAATAAAACAAAAACAATGTAACTTTATACATATTCTCTTTTAGCTTTTAAAAAGTATTATCTTTAGCTTAAATATTTATATATATGACATATACTAATTATTTATCCTCATACATGACATATAATAAATATATAAAATTATATATTTTGCACATGTTTCCCACATGTCGTGTCCTACATTTTAAAAAGATTTACATGTCGGCATGTCCATGTCATGTCAAGTGTCTCTTGTTATCATTGCAAGAAATCATATTGGTGGGACTTGATCCTCTACCTCAAGCTTGGATATGGTGTTAGAGGTAGCATTGGGCTTCAAGGCTTGTAGTGTACATAGTAAACTTTAACAAGCTACTTGTATGATACTTTAAATAGCAAATTCTACTAGTAGCCCAAGCAAATAAATGGAACTTTGAAATCTGACATACACAATCATATGATTTTCATGTAGAAGACACACATCTTTTTGGATCCTAGCCTTCTTCCCTGAGAATTTGGTTATTTTAGTGAGGATTTTAATATAGTAGAATGAATTCTTGGGACCCTGCCCTTTTCTCGACAAGATTTTCATAGGCATGCAACTACAATTTACAAATGTAGCATAGAGTTCATAAGCTATTCAACAAAAATAGTTGCATATGGTCTAGTTGTATTGTCTTTTGATGGTGAAGTTTCATTGGAAGAAACAATAGTAAATGTAGATTCCAAGCAAGAAATATGGGGAGAGGTGTTAAAATATTTTTTGGCTTTTGGGATTATATTGTAATGCCTACAGCACTCTATGAAATGCTATTTTAGGACCAATGTTAACAGGGGGATACTAGATATAGGTGGCAAAAAATCCCAAACGTGACTATTTGATTTCTTGCATTGATCATTAATGAGGAGAATCAGAGAGCATATAGTGCATAGGAATTACTTTTCGTTGAAGTGAATTCTTTTAGATGTTTTGTTGATGAATATATATGCCGGAGTTAAGGAATTTTTTTTAAATGATATCGGCAGGGGTAGTTAGGCTTTATGATCTTGCAAGATATCACATGCTCATAAAACGAGTGGTGATAAAATTAGGTTGTTAAGATGCACGACAATAAATAGTAGAATTAGAGTGAATGCTTTTTGAGAGGGAGATTTTATGAGCTGGAAATGGGCCATGGTAAGGGCCGGGCAAGTTGAAAGCCGAGCGCGTTTGGGCCAGGATAGCTTTGGGCTTGCCCGGAGGTGGGGCTGCTCAGCTAAAGCCCAAGACCAAGCTACTTGAACTTGCACAGGTGGAGACCGTGCTACTTGCGTTGCTCGGCAAGAAGGCCTGCGCCTTTAGCTCGGCAGGAAGGTTCGCACCTTTAGCTCGGCAAGAAGGCCTTTGTTTTACCCGCGTGACCTATTTCGAGCTCGGCTCTGCTGGAATGCAGCTGAGCTCGGTCGGTATGGAGCTCGGCTAGTGAGCATTCAGGCATGCGGGCGCAGCACGGTCGGGTGAGGCCGAGGTGATTCCGCCGGTCTGCAGGGCTCCGCCAAGATATCCTGACAGTTTGGTTAGGTGATGATTGCTGGATTTGTGCTGACAGATGGGATAGCAGCACCACGTGTTGAGAGACTAATGAAAGTAGATTTGGGGCGTAGAAGGTATATAAGCGTGTCTGCCCCCCCCATGCTTGGACAGATGATCATTTGGTCTGATACACTTAGACATTCAACTCTCTCCTCTCTTTCTCTATCCCTGAGTGTGTGCTAACTTGGCCGTCAGAGGGGTTTTCCGGCCACATACCGCCGGGTAGCTCACCGCCGTTGTGTTTGCAGGTTGATCGGACAGACAGGGAGCTTGGAAGAAAGGTGTATGGGCTCGTCGGAATATTGCTCCCCGTACACTTTTGTTAACAACAAATGCTGACTCCATTTGAAGCAGTGGAAGAGGAATTTTGGTCAGATGGTTCACACATGTATAATGAAAACCAATGTTTTTAAAGGCTCAAGGCACACCAAGGCGCTAAAGGTCTCTTGGGGCCTAGGTGCAAGGTGCAAGGCGAGGCACGGACTTTATTGAAGCAAGGTGCACAGTCTTAGCAAAAAATAGATAAATTAACATAGACTAATGATTCATAATGTAATGTATGATGTTATGAATTAATTATTTGTAATTTTTTTTTGCCTGACAGAGACTCAAAACAAAGACAATGACATAATTGCAAAAAAAACACACACACACACAAGCATGGAAGAGAAGCCAAAAAAAAAAAAACAAAAAACAAAAACAAAGAAGAAGAAGAAGAAGAATAAGAAGACATGTGCTTGCTTATACAAATTGCTGCTATTCTCATTTTTGCATTATTCCATGTATGAAGCAAAAAAGAAAACAAAAAAGCAAGAAGGGGGGGAAAAAAAAAAACAAGAAAAAAAAACCCAGCCTAACAGCAAAGAAGAAGAAGAACTCTACCCAGCAGGGAAAAAAAAAACAGAGAGAGAGAGAGAGAAAGAGACTAAGTTGAAGAAGTAGGAAAAAAAAACAGAAAGTGAAGAAGGAGAGAGAGAGAGAGAGAGAGAAACTAAGTCGAAGAAGTAGGAAAAAGAAAAACAGAGAGCGAAGAAGAAGAAGAAGAAGAAGAGAGAGAGTCAAGACTCCAAGTCGAAGAAAAAAAAAAAAACACAGAGAGCAAAGTCGAAGAAGAAGAAGAATAAGAGAAGAAGAACTCACTTGGTCCTAGACGAGTCGAAGGAAAGAGAGAGAGAGAGATAGACATAGCAAGCTTTCGAGCAAATACGAATGGAGATTAGGGCATTTCGATCGATTTGGGGCTGGTTACTCTCGCATATAGCTCAGAGTTGTAATCCTCTGTAATTCGAGATTTAAAAGCACGATTTGAGCCATTCGATTCATTCAAAGATCCAAAAACAAAAGTCGCGTTGTGCCTTTTCTCGCCTCGACAAGTCATGCATAAGGCGCACGCCTCTTTCAAGTCGCCTCGCCTTGGGTACCTACAGGCGCAACTGTTGCGTCTCGCTGCGCCTTGCGCCTAGGCGCGCCTTTCACAACATTGATGACAACAACAAACTAAATTGGCAAGTAGTACTCTAGATTGGTTCAAGGCACTACTGGTTCTAGGGAAAGGCCAAAAGGAATGTTTGCTAAAGGTGCAAGAAAGGACATAGTGCCCTGTGAATTAACACTAAGGGGGTGTTTGGGAAGAAAAAAAATAGCTTAATTTAGGCTAAAATTCACAAAAAGACAAAATAGGCTAAAATAGCTAATAAGACAAAATATCACATCAAACCCATAATCATTTCACTTTTTCTTTCACAAACATCACATTCAATCATAAAAAAATCCAATCATCTTCCCAAACACAAAAATTTTAGTCTACTAAAATAGCCAAAAACTAAAATAGCCTACTAAAATAGCAACTTCCCAAACGAATCCTAAGTTTCCAAGGGGGTATAAAAAGGCCCTTTCTTAGACCATTCATTCCAGCATAAAATGGCAAAAGATAAGGTGCTATGTTTGTAATTATCTTTTTATCTAGATCTATTAATTGCATTACTACATGGTCACTTTATTTGTAGGTTTTATGAGTAGTAAACATAGATTCATGTACCCACCCCAAAAAACATAGATTCATGTATTGTATCTTGCAACATGTGAGTTTTTTTTTTTTCTTTTTTTTCCCCACTTATTTTTAAAGATACAAATGTTTATCTATATTTGAGTTTTCTTGTGCTTGTTAAAGAACTAAAAAGAGCAAATCATAACAGAAGTTGTGACTATAATACATTTTTTTTAATCATGAATAGGCGTATCACACTAGTTCCATAAACAATGATCTTGTGTTGGTCAAGTCTCCAAACTACCAAGCACAAGTGGACAGTGTGTCGAAAGTTTTTTAAAATACCAATGCCAATTGGGAGAAGTTTCTTATACATTAATTATAGCCAGTATTTGAGTTCTGACAATTGTTGCACATTCATTGATGGTGTACACATATTTGAGGTCATGTTATTTTTTATGTCAGCATTAATATATGAACAGTTGAAAATGTCTATCATTGCACATTTCCAGGTATAAATCCAAACCTGTTGCTGTAAAAGTGATACAGCCAGACAAAACATCAGCAGTGAGTCCTGAACGCAAAGAGAAATTTGTGAGGGAGGTTGCAATGTTATCTAGAGTAAAACATGATAATATTGTGAAGGTATGCTATGTGACCACACAAGAATGTATGTTACAATTAAAATGTCGTGAAGGTAGCTTACCTTGTTTTCTCATATGCTTGTGCGTATTTATCCATGTGAGTTAGATCTTTTCAATATTTTGTTTGTAAAATGCACCTGTATTTGGATAGTCAGGAATCAGGATATTATTAGGCAGATTCAATGATCAGATATCCTAATTTTGAAAGTAACTTCTCAAATAAAAAAAATTTGATTTCATTTCGAAAGTATCTTATATTTATGCCATATATTATATTGATCCACATCTTTTTGTTTTACTGTTACTATATACTATTTATATCTATGTGGAATGATGCTATGAATGGAAGTACAAATATTGCTAGCTGCCAATGCTTGTTTTTTGAACTGAACTTAGCATACCTTAATACATTCTCATCCACCAAAAGGACAGAACAAAATTTTGTTAAATTATCAGAAATTTGTATATTGTTTGGAGTCGTGAAATTGGGTCTTTTTAATTTTAGTTCTTTCATGTCTGTAAGTGAACTCTAATTGTGTTCATAATGTTCTAATCTGATATTGGACATCTTAAATTCAATCATTGTGTCTGTCATCAATGTTACCATTGTTTACAATAAAGTAAGTTGCTACTGTTAGTTGGAATGTATGCTTTGTCCCTAATCATCAAGACACTATCACACACAACATTGTTTCTCTATTGTTGTTATGGGTTTCATTGTAGGCATTATGAAATAGATTTATAAAAGGATAAATGGTAATGATTTGGCATGCTACACTCTTGTTGAGTACTACTTTCTTTAAAAGTCTCAGCAACCAGATCCGTCTGTCAAATAATGAAGTGTTTGAGAATGGAACAGTACGTCTCTTATCTAGTAACTTTGTTGACTTGTACTAAGAATAAAATGTTGCCTTTTGGACTTCCATAATTCCTCATTTTTGTAAAATGTTTGTTGCGACTATTTTTTATTTAATTCATTTGTTAGTCATACTTTGGGTAAATAGACATGAATCTCGTTAATAAATATAGATTTCCAACTTCTGTGTTTTTCAGTGTTCTATTAAACTTAAGATACAGAATATTTATTGTTGTAAAGTCTCTATGTTTAATTTACTTGCTGAGATGAGATGTTTTGTTGAAACAGTTCATTGGAGCCTATGTGGAACCGACCATGATGATAATCACAGAACTTATGAGAGGTGGTACACTTCAGAAGTACTTGTGGAGCATCCGGCCAAACTCTCCAGATCTGAAACTGTCTATAAGTTTTGCATTGGGAATCTCTCGAGCAATGGAATATTTGCATGCAAATAGTATCATTCATCGTGACTTGAAGCCTAGTAATCTATTAGTCTTTTCATTTCTGCTTTCTTCTTCATGAAAGTTAGCAGTCAACTTTCCTTGACTTTTTACTCAGATTGATAAGGTTTAGAACGGAGCATGTTTCCATCCACCTTTCCCTGCTCATGATTTTATTATTCATTTGTTCACATTTCAAGCACCATGGCACAATGGGAAGACCGTGCCTATCATTTCACTATGCATATACAATCAAACAAGCAAAGTAGCAGAAGAACCCTCTGCTTTTTGGTGACATCCCCTGATTGAGTTAAACTATCTGACATTGTCAAGCTTGGAGGGTCTTCTTGTTTATGCAAATGAGTTTTTCCTCAAGCACACTTGAGAGTGAGTTGAACATTTGATGGGGCACTGTCACATTCTGTTTTCTGTGATTCTGAATACCACCACCACCAAACAAAGCCTTGTATCACAATTAAATGAAGTTAGCTGCATGAATCTTTTTTCACCATTCAACTCTATCAAGGGCTATCTTTTTTTCTTTTTCTTTTCACTTTTTTTTTTTTTGTTTTGTTTTGTTTTGTCTGTTTCTAATTTAAAATTTGTCCATGTTTATGGTAGGCAACCTACTTCTCATGGAAGACAAGAAGAAAATCAAGGTAGCTGACTTTGGCCTGGCTAGGGAGGAGACGATGGGTGAAATGACTGCCGAGGTCGGTACTTACCGGTGGATGGCTCCTGAGGTAATCCTATGCTACAATATATCTAATTGCCTTATTTTTAGTATAAACCTTACCCTTTACCCAAATCAGTTGTTCAGCGTAGAACCAATTAAACTGGGAGTGAAGAAGCACTATAATCATAAGGTGGACATCTACAGTTTCTCAATGGTTCTGTGGGAGCTGTTGACAAATAGCACTCCATTCAAGGGGAGGAACAATGTAATGGTGGCTTACGCATCATCGATGGTATGTCCTTTGATTTTGATTGTTTTATTTTCAATTATGAAGATGTGGCAATAGTACTAGAAACTATGGAACTATCTTACATGGAACACAGATCTTTCTAGTATAAGGTATGGGAATGGGAACCGGAACGTGGTACTACCAGATCTCAAAACTACGGTATTATAGGGGTAGGTTTGTATAGAGAAAATTTCTAAACACTCGTAAATTTCTTTCAAACATCAATAAAAGAAAGCATATTATTTTTTCAAATTAATTATCTAAAAACACATTTCTAAGAGTATTATGACACTTTTATTTATTTATTTAAATCTTGTCAAAACTCCACTCTCTTTGAATTTTAGTTTATTATCTTTATTTTGTAATGTTAAGGAAACAAGTATGAAAAGTTGTGGAGATCACTAAATTCACAGTTCTGGACGAAGGTGTACCAAATGTAAATCACTAGGTATTACCACAAACATTTAAACGTCAAATTTGAGCAAAAGTTGGCAGTGAAAAACCCGAGAACAATGTTATTTGTCGGGTTAGAACTTCCATGAAACTTCTACATATTGTTTCCATCTCCACAACGCTGAAATTTTACCTATATTTGGAGTTCTGGAAAAAACTCGTTCTTAGACAACTTTCCTAGTGATTGTCCAATTGTTTTCTTAAATTGTATTTTTACTTTTTGCTACCAGAATCTAAGACCTAGCATGGATAACATTCCAAAGGATATTGCTCCCCTCCTGGAGTCCTGTTGGGCAGAAGACCCCGAAGAACGGCCAGAATTTGTGCAAATCACAGACTTTCTGTTGAACTTTCTCCGCAGCATGCCCTCAATACAGTTAAAATCACCAAAGCAGTTTGAGATTGGACAGGCTAAAGGCAAAATTATTGCGGATTCTCGGAACACTGATCATATGATGAACAAGTCTCGAGAGGAAGATAAGAAGAGCCGGAGTCAATCCCGCTGCTTCTTGAGTTGCTTTGATTACTGTTTCTCTGATGGGCTGAGGAACACTTCTGAGGTTTGAAACTAGTGTAGATCAATCTTTCTCTTACTTTTTCACACATATAGAACATGGGTCAAGCATGTGGATGTTCAGTTAGATTGCAATGCCATTATTGTACATAAGTTTCAAAAAGCGTATATAGGAAATACAATAAAATGAAAATGTGAAGAAGAATAAAGAAAGTTTCAAGTTGATGCCATTACCTTGCCCAGGTGTTTTGTTCATTTTTTTTAAAAAAAATAAATAAAATAATTGGCTTGTTCTACTATTTATTCTATTCACTAAAAATATTTAATGGTAATGGAGACTTGGGGCAATTTCTCACCCAATTATGTTCATGGAAAGTTTCAGTGGGACTATTTGGAGCAGTTTTTGTAAGTTAAAAATTAATAATGGTGAAATTTAAATCATTAATCCTTCTGCTTCCTAATAATAATTTGTAAAATGACCGCGGTCCCTATTTATTCTATTCACTAAAAATATTTAATGGTAATGGAGACTTGGGGCAATTTCTCACCCAATTATGTTCATGGAAAGTTTCAGTGGGACTATTTGGAGCAGTTTTTGTAAGTTAAAAATTAATAATGGTGAAATTTAAATCATTAATCCTTCTACTTCCTAATAATAATTTGCAAAATGACCGCGGCCCCTAGCTCTCTCCATTATTTTTTCATTGGCTGAGAATTTTTTTTTTTTTTTTTTTTTTTTTTTTTAAGTCTTGCTCTCACAGGGGGTCACGTGACGTTGGGATGCTGGGGTCACTCCCACTAGGTCCCAGTCCGGTTGTAATAATTTTTTTTGTTGTTTGTTAAAATTATTTTTTGTTTCATAATCTGTAAATAAAAGTTGTATGAAATATTATTCTGACACAAATTTTTAGAATTAAAAAAAAATCTTATAAGCTAGGCTATTTTTAGGATTAAAAAAATAAATAAATCCTATACGCTAGGCTGCGTTAACAGGGCCAATAATGACCAATATCGGGTAATGTATTATGATTATTTACAAGAGTGGAAACTAAATACAATAAGAAATTATTTGGTACTATTGGTGTAACGGCTCCAAAATACTTGAAAAAATTATATTTATTTTATTATAAATTAATATGATTTAATTTGGAAGTATTTGTCTAAATTGGAAAAATATCTGTTGAGGCTATGACTTTGAAACTGAAATTGATAGCCAAAATGGGTTCAAAAATCAGAATGGAGTACATGAATATGTTAATTGAAATTTTTAGAATCATTTGAGAAATTTAATTAAAAATTGATTTCGTCTGATTCGTAAAGTCATGTTTGACTCTCATTATTGAAGTAAAATATGTGGCTATAGATATGTAAGTGATATAAGTCTTATATGAGCTCATTTTGGGTGCAACAAAAAATATGAGAAAGAGAGAAAAAGAGAGAATTCTATAAGAGAGAAAGAGAGCCCTAGAGAGCTCAAAGAGAAAAGGGAAAGTGTAGGAATTAAGGAAGAAAATCAAGATTTGACTTGGATTTGTCAAGATTATACAAGATCAAGTGTCTATGAAGGCTCTAGATAAGGTTTTATCTCTTAAACCTTGAAGATTAAGTGTAAAAGGGTGTGTTTTATGGACTATATATGATCACATGCATGTTTTGTGTTTTATAAGTCAAAAAGATGTTTAATCTTTGCATACATGGCATCAATTCATAAAGTAACTGGTAGCAACTTGTTTTTTATGCATAGCTCTTGAGTTTTGCCAAAAATTTCCATGGAAGTTGAGCTTGGAACCCTCAAATGCATATTGTCAAGCTTTTGTTCCTTTTTAAATACAAATTAAGTTTTGTTTTGCATATATGAGTTGTATTTGAAATTAGACTACTAAATTTGACATGTTTTTAAGAGGTTTTGAGCCTTACTTTGTATTAATTAAAGTTAGATTTGAAAATTCAAGGTAAAAGTAGATTTTCGAACTGGTTTTACACCCAGACTGCTCGTTCGGCCTGGGTCACCACTCGAGTGGCCGAACCTCTTTTGGCGCAAATTGTAATTGCTTCACTACCGCTTGTGCGACCAAGGCCACTGCACGTGCAGCCCAACAAGGTAGTTTTTCCGATTTTGTTTTCTTTCCATTTTTTGACTTTTGGGCCTTTATCTACATGGTTTTTGTGTGTCATAGACATCCATATGCATTGCATAAGCATAAAAGAAATTAAAGAAAGAATAGAAACGCTTTATCGGATATGTAACGAATGAACCGATTGAACGAATTAAATGAAATGCGTTTTGTTATGCTTGGTTATATTTCTACAGGTTGAATCGTTAAGGTGGATCATCCGACTAAGCATTGTGAGTAACAATGTTGTAAAGTTATATTTAAGCTATATTTCTTTCTGACTATCATTGTTAACGACTGCTTCGATATGATTTATTGAGTAAATGAACTCATGCAATATGTTCACGTGGCTCTTACCCGGAGGTAACAAAACCATGGTCTATATTCACGTAACCTTTACTCGAGGTAACAATACTGTGGCCTATGTTCACGTGGCCCTCACTCGGGGGTAACAATACCATGGTCTATGTTCACGTAGCCCTCATCCGGAGGTAACAATACCGTAGTCTATGTTCACGTGGCCTTCGCCCGAGGGTAACAATATTGTGGCCTATATCCATGTGGCCCTCGCCTAGGGGTAATAATACCATGGCTTTATGTATACTAGATATTAATTTATATGATCGTCTGTACCAACTATGATCTTAAAGACCGCTACACGTACACGTGGACTCTTACGATTGCTATGCTTTTATTTAATGAACATGATACTGCTATGTGAATGGATTTGTTATAGTAACTTATTGATTTTAAAGTCTTCATTCATAACTTTTTTACGCATTTATTATTCACTAGGCTTTAGCCCACAGTGTTGTATGTGTCACGACTCGTTCCCTCTACCCAAAGATTAAGCATCGTGATGGCCAATAACTGAAGTTACCTTCGGCCAATTCTTAAATAAACTAACAAACGCGAGCGGAAATAATATTTAAGTGATGGTACCAAAATAATCATTGGACCTTTTATTTTTATTAGAAAATTTATTGACCAAAAATGTTGATATTTACATATAAAAATATCATAAAGGTGCTGTGAGTGTCTATTCTGCAGCCTCGCGTCTAAAACTTTCCAAAAGCTATTTTTGAATTGCATTGTTTCCTGAAAATTGGTAAACAGCTATAAGCACATGGTAGAGTGAGAAATATTATGTCAAGAGTATAAGGGACACAAAATAACTATAGATAGTTATCTAACTAAAATAATTAAGACAACTTAGTATGAACAAATAATTATTTAAGTAGAAAAACTGAGATTATGTAAATAAATAATCATAACTACGGTACCAAACAGAACAGAGGTCACCGGAGTGACAGTCAGAACAGAGGTACGGATTCAAGAGGTGGCTCGTATGGATTATAGAGGTAGCTCCCATAATAGTGTAGCACTTATCTCCGAGCAACACTTTGCTCCGCACAGAACAGAGGTCAATACATCCATGTCAACAGAGGGCCACAAAGTGACCAAACAGAGGCCAATGGTTATTTAAGTCTCCCAATGCATGGGACTCCCGTGGTGGTATTTATAAAAAATAAATGTTTACAAGGTCATTGTCAAATACTTTTTAAAATTTAAGCAAACATATCTATGGGTTTCATTTTAAACAAATAGAGTTCAAAAAATAACCCATGTAAATATTAATATACTTTATAAAACATAACTTATATAAAATAAATTATGATAAGTCAAAATATATATAAAATATATTATGGTGATTTAAGGTATAATATAACTCACCTTAATATTAACCCTTATTATTTTCTTCTTATTTTTGCTACCCTCTCTCAGTATTCTTTTGCTCTCATTTTTCCCTTCTATTTCCTTCGTCCTATTCACTTACAGCCCACCCATCATTTTATATACACAACCTGGGGGTTTGCATTGATGGCCCAAATTGCGGGAGCTTTTTTGATAAATCCACTTTCTAAGAGCTTTATTCCATAAAACTCATATTCTTTTTGACTATTCCATTAGGTCCTATTTGAGATAAGAAGACCAAAATATTATTTTCATCTACTTATGTTCCATTTAGTTCACATTATTTTTTTATGTTTTAATAAGTCCTATGGGTGACATAATTACCAAAATACCCTTAATGTGAATGTTCACACTGTCAATGTGAATGTTCATATCGTCAATGTGTAGGGACCCGACCTATTAACAATGTGAATATTCACATTGACATGTTAACATTCACATTAATAGGAGTGTAAAATTGGCCCGCGTCTAGTGGCGGTGCGAAACCCGCTCGCGGCCCATGGGCGGCCCGGGGCGGGCTCAGTCTGGCCCATTGACAATGTGAATATTCACATTGACATGTTAACATTCACATTGATAAGAGTATAAAATTGGCCCGCAGCCCATAGACGGCCAAAAACTTGCTCACGGCCCGGGGCTGGCCCGGCCCGTTGACAATGTGAATATTCACATTGACATGTTAACATTCACATTGATAGGAGTGTAAAATTAGCCCGCACCTCGTGGCTGCCCGAAACCCTCCCACGGCCTGTTGGTGGCCCGGGGCGGGCTCAGCCCGGCCTGTTGTATAAAATTGGCTAGCGGCCCGGGGCGGGCCCGGCTCGGCCCGTTGATAATGTGAATATTTACATTGACATGTTGGCATTCATATTGATAGGAGTGTAAAATTAGCCCGTGCTACGTGGCTGCCCGAAACCCGCCTACGGCCCATGGGCGGCCGGGGGCAGGCCTGGCCATTTTTTTTTAATTTTTTTTAATTTTTTCTACCAAAATTTTATTATTTTCCACAAAAAAAGACACTAGGCCTTGGCGCGGTCTGGGCCTCGGACCGAGCCTTGAATGGGCCTTAACCGGGCCGATGGGCCAGGCCAGGCTTCAAAGTGATGGCTTAGGCCTTAGCCTAGGGTCTCGGACTAGGCTCGAGCCTAGGCCCAAATGAGCCTTTCCTTGGCCGGGTCGGTCCACAGGCCAAAAAATTAGGCCCAGGCCCTGGCACAAGAGTATTCGGGCTTTGGACGGGCCGATGGATAGAGCCTCGGGTCGGGCCGATGGACCTGGGCCTAGCCTCGAGCTTAGGTCGGGCTTGGCCATTTTTTTAAATTTTTTTTACCAAAATTTTATTATTTTTCACAAAAAAAATACATTGCGTCTCGGGTGGGCTGGCCTCGGGTCGAGCCTTGAATGGGTCTTAAGCGGGCCGATGGGCCGGGCCGGGCTTCAAAGTGATGACCTAGGGCCTAACCTAGGGTCTCGGACATGCTCAAGCCCAGATCGAAACGAGCCTGCCCCGGGCTGTGGGCGGGCTTCGGGCAGCCCACGGGCCGCGGACCAATTCTACATTCCTATCAATGTGCATTTTAACATGTCAATGTGAATATTCACATTGTCAGCGGGTCGGGCCGGGCCTACCCCGGGCCGCCGGCAAGCTTCGGGCAGCGGGCAAATTTTACACTCCTATCAATGTTAATGTTAACATGTCAATGTGAATATTCACATTGTCACGGGTCGGGCCAAGCCCGCTTCAGGCTGCGGTCGGGCTTCGGGCCGCCCACGGACTGCGGGCCAATTTTACACTCTTGTTAACATGTCAGTGTGAATATTTACATTGTCAACGAGGCGGGTCGGGCCCGCCCTAGGCCGCTGGTCAATTTTATACTCTTATCAATGCGAATGTTAATATGTCAATGTGAATATTCACATCGTCAACAGGCCGGATCGGGCCCGCCCCGGGTCGCCCATGGGCCATGGGCAAGTTTCGGGCAGTTACGAGGCGTGGGCTAATTTTATACTCCTATCAATGTGAATGTTAACATGTTAATGCGAATATTTACATTGTCAACGGGTCGGGCCGGGTCCGCCCTGGGCGGCGGGCGGGCTTTTGGCCACCCATGGGCCGCGGGCCAATTTTACACTCTTATCAATGTGAATGTTAACATGTCAATGCGAATATTCACATTGTCAACGGGCAGGACCGGGACTGCCCCGGGTCGCCTATGGGCCGCGGGTGGATTTCGCGCCGCCACGGGACGCGGGCAAATTTTACACTCCTATTAATGTGAATGTTAACATGTCAATATGAATATTCACATTGTCAACGGGCCGGGCCCTCCCTGGCTCGCTGGCGGGTTTCGGGCCGCCCATGGGCCAATTTTACATTCATACCAATGTGAATTTTAAAATATGAACGTTCACATCATAAAATTGCTAACCGTTCAAAAAATATTTATAAGGGTATCAAAATTAAATATAAGGGTATAAGTGTCCAAGAAAATAGTATAAATTAAGAAAAAAGACTTTATGAAATAAAACTATACGTACATGAGACTAAATGGGTTAAATTTTTTTTTTATGAATTTCTTAAGTTAAAACACTTCTAAATAGAATTTATCAATAAAAATCTCATTTTATTAATATAATATAAAAATATAATAATTGCAACCTTGTGATAAGTAAAAATTAATCAAAGTTATCCATTAAGAGTCGGTGAGTCATCCATAATCCATCTATTTATTTATTTTCATTAATTAAAAGAAAAAAGGCTCTTGTGCTGAGTCATAGATGTCCAGTTTTCGTCCTCACGTGTCACCTTCCAAAACCCTAGCCGCACCAACTCATCATCATACTCGCCACCACAACTCACTCCTGCCACCTATCGGACATAGCCACACCAGCCAGCCTTCCCAACACCAACACCAACACCAACACCAACACCCTCTCTCTCTCTCTCTCTCTCTCTCTCTCTCTCTCTTCTCTGAGCTTCTGAGCTTGTGTTATGGACAACTAGCCGTAGCTTCTCTCTGCCTTTGGATCTATCACACACCAATTACGAGCAACAAGAGGAGAATACTGAAGCCTTTTGTTCGTCCGACTTGGACTTCAAACTAGGTCAGTTTATCTCTCTATTATATATATGTATATGTATTTGTATAATAGCAATTTCGACAATGATGCCTAATTGAGCTCTGGGTCTCACTTCGCTCTGCTGTGTTTCAATTGCGAGGGTTTAATTGGGTGTCCGATTTTTCAGGCTGAAACTTGTTTTTGGAAATTGCAATCAATTTGGTGTAAAACTGGCGGGGATAAGAAGCAAAGAATTACGCTTTTGTTTGGGTGGAAAATATTTTCTACAGAAAAGTTTTTTCAGAAAATGTTTTCTGAAGAAAATATTTTCCCATGTTTGGTGGTGGTGAAACGAAAGTGGAGGTGGAGGTGAAGGTGGTGGGGCGGCAGCGACGGTAATAGCTATGGTGATGGTGGAGGTGAGAGTGCCGGTAGTGTGGTGACATTGGTAAGATTTAGTATAGAAAACGTTGTTCCGCTTTTAACAGTGGAAAACAATTTCTGCCCATATAGGCTTTTTTTCTGGTTTAATATATAAAAAATATTTTTTCGTAAAAACAAACAGAGCATTAGTGAAAGAGGAGATGAAGAGAAGGAAGAAGAAACAATGGGGGAGAAGAATTATTATTATGTCCCTAGTTATGCGTAAAAGTTATGAATGGGAAAATTGTGTATACCATGAAGTGAAAGTTGCTAATTGTGATTATGTTATGAATGGTATAGTGTAACTGTTACAAACTGTTTGTAGTGAGAAATATTAATAACCATTTTGATGAAAAGTTACAAGATGTTGTGATATTTGTTATGGAAAGTTATGTTGTGATAGGTGCATACGGTAAATCCTTTTTAATAGTGCACACCATGGTAGCTCCCATTAACAAAATAAATTATAAATTAAGAAAACTTGTAATAAAATCCTAACTAAACTCGCACTCTTGAATAAACTAAACGCTTGGATGTTGCCTCCTTCACGATCTACATCAATTATCTTGGTTGAGTGGAACTGTACTTCTGAGAGCTACTCAAAAAATTAGGATCAAAGAAGCTAAAGTGTCCACAATAATTTAAGGGGCATTGGTGTATGGATGATTCTTCCACTGCACAAGATTTCTCTAAAAGCTATATTTCATAGAAACAACATCTTAGAGTCGTAAGGACATTCTTAATCTGGTCCTCATGTTGTGGTAGAAATGGAGGACAATGGGAAATAGGTACTAGATTGGAACTCTACATCTCATCGAAAAGTGTAACTATTTGATTAACGTCATTTATTACATCCTGATTTGTGACTCATTGTCAAGATTCGATATGAGGTGCAATGTGACACTTATTATGGCTAAGGTAACACTCAATGGTGGAAGCATTTTGAAGGGAGCCAGGGAAAGAAGATCCCTTACACTTGGTGCTAGTGACTCTTTTAACTCCACTCAACCTCTCAAAGGAAACATATCTGGATTAATGGGATTTTCCAGCTTGAGAGCCCTTGGATAGGTGATAGTTTTCTATCTTTTATTAAGCTTTAGGGGAGTGCACATTAACCTCTTCTTAATATTTACTGAATCTCAGCCCATTAATGAAGTTGATGACTATTTGTCATGTGGAGTGTCAAGTTACTCACTGGTGAATGAGAATGGAGCAGGATGGTATTTACTATTGTTCTAAAGATTTTTTTTTGGGGTTCTTATTTTTCCAAACAAGAGAGCAAATGCAAAATTATGAATGTTCCCATTTAAAACACAAGTAGTGTTTATTGAAAATTACAAAATTCAATGATGTTTTCCCAAACATGTAGTATTCACTGAATCTTACTAGTTATGTGTTATTGGAGACAGATAAACTTGTTCTTGAAAAAGTGTGAAATTTTGATATGCCTTGCAGTTGGATTTGATATTTTCAGTAACTTCATAAATTTAAGTTAGGCTACATAATATCGTGCGACAAACATTTTAAGGGAAGGGTGATTATTAGTACTGATTGAAATGGGGACTGGGGAAGAGAGCACACCAGCTAAACTTTCCAAGCCAACTGCTTCAGCTCAGGAAACCCCAACAACACCTTCATATCCTGATTGGTCAAGCTCTATGCAGGTTTTATGATAAAAAGCTCTTGGCTTTGATTTGTTGTTAATTTAAATGATAGGTGTGGTTTCAAGGTTCCTGGATAAATTTTATTAATAGCCCATGGCTTATTTGTTGTATAGGCTTATTATGGTGCTGGTGCTACCCCATTTTTTGCCACGCCTGTTGCTTCTCCTACTCCCCATCCTTATCTTTGGGGGAACCAGGTGATTATCTCTCTGTATTCATTTTCCTTTGCTGCGTATCATATAGAGTTCTGCACTGTTTGGTGATAGTATTGCTCTTTGACTGACCGATGGGCGTTGCTGTTGATAATTTTTCAGCATGCTTTAATACCACCGTATGGGACCCCCGTTCCCTACCCAGCTCTATATCCCCCGGGGGCAGTTTATGCTCATCCTAATGTGGCCACGGTAATCCTAATTGTTTTTTTTGTGTCATTAAATATATTTTTTTTTATTGAGTTCATACTGCATTCTAAGAGTAGGTTTCCTCTACATAAATTGCTTCTTTGAATACAAACAAGTTTCAGACATTCAGTTGGAGGTTGACAAATGTGATTTATTATTATTATTATTATTTTTTAACCACTGAACAGTATTCTAGCTTTTAGAAAACCTTCAACTTGGACATTTGACATTTCCTTTCTTAGGCTCCAAGCATGGGACAGACAAATGTGGAGTTGGAAGGAAAGACCCCTGATGGGAAGGATCGGGTTTCAAATAAAAAGTTCAAGGGAACTCTGGGAAACACTGGCTTGGTTGGTGGAAAGGGTGGAGAAAGTGGGAAAGCAGCTTCAGGTTCAGGAAATGATGGTGCCACACAAAGGTGTCTTACTCAAAATTCTCTTAGAATACTCTTTTTAACGTGACCCGATTTTAGTTCATTTCTAGTTATCAATTATTATTCAATATGTGCTCTTAATTCTCTTTGGTTTCTGTTCTCTAATTGTGAAATTGCTCATAAACAGTGCTGAAAGTGGTAGTGAAGGTTCGTCAGATGCAAGTGATGATGACAACAACCAAGTAGTATGTACTCAATCTATGGAGAGACTTTTTACTTTATAGCATTGATAGGGAAAGTGTTGAATCCCATGCACCTCATCTAGGTGAACTTGCTTTGGCATGTGCATGCCTAACCTGATCTCAGATCCTCTAAAATGAGGCAGTGTCTGTGTCTTTTGTCAACTTGATCCAGTCAAAAGTGTGTCAATGTGATACTTTCTTTTCTTCTAATTTACATAAATTGAATTTGATCTTTTAGGAATATGCTGCAACTGCAAATAAGAAAGGAAGCTTTGATCAGATGCTTGCAGAGGGTAGCCTTTTCATCTACGTTTAATTGTGTTTGCATTTGTGTTATTTAGTTGTGATTTTGTATTTTTGTGAACTTGTTCAGGAGCCAATGCACAGAATAACACCACTGGGGTGCCTGTGAATTCAGTTGTCCCTATTACTTCAACTAATCTGAACATTGCAATGGACTTATGGACTGCGTCTCCTGCTGGTGCTGGAGCAGTGAAAATGAGACCTAACCCTCCCGGTGTCTCACCAGCTGTTGCTCCAGCAACAATGGTTGGACGCGAAGGGATGATCACTGACCAATGGATTCAAGTATGTAGTCTTGCAGTTGTTTAATTATTTATAATCTGGTTTTCTATTGAATTTTATTCAGCAAAGCTATATATATATATATTTCCCTAATCAATGTTGCTTTGGTAGTGGGTGCACTTTAGTTTACCGAAACATGACATGGGACCATCGACACAACTAATGCACCATTTTTGCTGATCTCACCTGCCTGAGACATGCCTTCTAATAGGCTTGGTGGGACACCATATATATGATAGGACATTATCTGCTTGTGTATCAAAATACCCCATCAATCAACATGTTTGACAACATGTCTTCATGTCACTCTGGTGAAGAGAAGGGATGAAGACATTGAGAACAGGAGGTGGTTGTAATGCTATCATCTGCCACAAGGATTGACACCATTTTAGGATCTGACCACCACTCACTAAAACTACAGGTGGGAAGAAGCTCACAGTAAATATCAATGTATGGTTTTGGGGCTTGGTGTAATTTTTCTAAGATAGCAAGATGGCTAAAAGTTTCAAAGAGGGGGAGTTATTACAGAGAATTTATTGTACTTCGGATTTAACAATAAGCACGAGTGTGCCACCTGGATACTCCAAGTGGATACAGAATTTTTCCTACAGAAATAAGTTGAGATAAGTTGCCTCAGTTATAGTAGTTTTTTGTTATCTTTGAGCTGATAGCAGAAGATGTGGCAATGGGATATAGAACTGTATCTTGCCATAAAAAAGGCTTTGAGATAAGTTGCCTCAGTTCCAACAGTTTTTATCATTTCCTCTCCAAATTATGTCCGTCACCCCCTTCTAGATAAAACTAAAGCTGACTTGGTGTTTTATCTGATCAACCCATTATTTCTTTAGTGAGATCTTTACAAAACTAATGGAATTTTGTTCAGAGTAACTTGTAATAAGCTGTAATTTTCATGTAAATGTTTTGCACGAGGTGGGAAATCTGAAATTTAGGAAAATAATCATCTATAATTATGAAAGACAGGAATGAAAAGGGGGAATTTTTGGACTGTTGCACCTGAGGTCAGGGGGTGTCTTTAGAATGTGGCCTCTGAGTAGTATTTTTTTGGGTCTTTTGACTGTTTTGGAAAAATTGTTAACCATGATTTTTCATTAGTCACCCAGAGTGATTACAAAACATGCATGCTCCTAGAACACAATTATTTGATACCATGTGCTTCCCTAGTCAGCAATTTATCTCTCATTATCTGTATGTATGCATGTATTGTAGATTTCATTAACTTATATTTCTTCAAAACTTTAGGCTATATAAACACTCTTGGGTGTATATTGAAATGAAGTCTTACAGTACTGTAACCCCTGAATTGACAGGATGAACGTGAATTCAAGAGACAAAAGAGGAAGCAATCTAACAGGGAGTCAGCTAGGAGGTCAAGATTACGTAAGCAGGTATATACACACTGCGTGCTTGTTGGCTCTTCTGTTTCTTCACAAAAGTTATAATCAATATGCATTCATATATCTCTGATCATTGTTTTTTCTTTTCTGTCAACATACCTACCTTTTATTGAGTTTTATTTGGCATCCTGTAATAGTAGAAGTTCAAATGTGTTCAAATATAGGCTTCAGTTTTTCTTTCTATACATTTTCAAACATTTCCATATATATGTGTGTATATGTATATTGTTTCTCTTGTGTTTCTGAAATGTTTCTGTTTCAAAGTCAACCGAAACAAAATTTTGGTTGTTGGTGAAGGTGTATGTAACAATCTGATCATATCATGATCCCATTAGTCTTCTATTTCTTTTTGTCAAAGTCATTACCTTTTCAATGTCATAAAAGCTGCATTTGAGAGACCTGCATCCACGTATCTATATCACTATTAGACATCTTAGAGATGATACGAGAGGTAGTATTCTGAATATCTACAACTGTTGTTGGAAGGCCAGGCATTCAATACTGGATTCTTAGTGCTTTTCCTGCTTGTAGATGAATCAGCTAGTATTTTAAAATTTATTAAAGTGGAACAAAAATGCATATAATGGAGTTTTACAGAAGAAACTGCCAGTCATGAGGTTGCCAGCAGGATCGATGGAATTGTAGATAATCTACTTACAAAATGTTGCTTGAATGATTATAAGTTACAAGATTGATGATTATAAAAGATTTTTACATATTAGCATTTTAAGATTTTTACAATATTAGCATTTTTCAAGCACCAATTGGTGGATAATAGTGTGAGTTTTTTCACCAGCTTTGCTTGTTCTGAAAGAATAATTGGGTTAAATGGAATGGTGTCAGAACTTTGATGCGGTCAAGCATTGTCAAATTCTTTTATGAAGTACCTTCTGCTGGCCATTGCTGTTAGAAGTTATTTAGAATTTGTTTTAAAGAGAAAGCTTGAGAGCATTTTGTTAAATTTGATGTATAGAGAAATAGAGAGAATGAATTATGTATTATTGATTGATGTATGTTATATATTACAATGATTCATGATTCCTATATATAGCAGAGGGTGAGTGTGTAGTAGGTGAGGAGTAGGTGAGGAGTAGGTGGAGAGTAGGTGAAGTAGGTGAGTGTGTAGTAGGTGGTAGTGGTAGGTGTGTAGTAGGTGAATTTTAACAGCCCCCTGCAAACTCAAGGGGGATAGGAACTAACCAACTTGAGTTTGGAGAGAGCAACAAAACAAGAAAATACATAAAAATAAAAGAGGGTGGGAGACACTGTATGGTCGTGTCAAACTGTTGGTGAAGCCACGGTATGGTGGTGTCATAATGTTGTAGAGGACACTGTATGGTCGTGGCAGACCGTTGGTGAAGCCACTGTATGGTGGTGTCATAACGTTGTAGAGGACACTGTATGGTTGTGGCAAACCGTTGTAGCAGATAAAGTCTGGACAGTTGTTGTGACAGTTGTTGTGACAGTTTACGGAGTCTTGCTGGACCCTTGTAGAAACTAACCGGAATCAATGTCGGGACAGTTTACAGAGTCTTGTCGGACCTATGAAGGAGCTAACCGGAATCAATGTCGGGACAGTTTACAGAGTCTGGTCGGACCCATGAAGGAGCTAACCGGAATCAATGTCGGGACAGTTTACAGAGTCTTGTCGGACCCATGAAGGAGCTGACCAGAATCAATGTCGGGACAGTTTACAGAGTCTTGTCGGACCCATGAAGGAGCTAACCGGAATCAATGTCGGGACAGTTTACAGAGTCTTGTCGGACCCTTAAAAAGTCGCACCCTCAAAAGGTGTGCCCAATCTTTCAAAAGGCGTGCCATTAAAAGGCGTGCCCAATCCATAAAAAGGTGTGCCAGATATGATGGCGAGGCACGTGAGTGCCTTGGCTGGCGCGCCCGTTTGTCGTTTGGCGTCAAGTGGCGCGCGATACGCGTGGCTGCCTCGGCTATTTAACCAAGACGGAGGTTGAGGCTGAGGCAGAAGCTGAGACAGAAAAACTGAGAGAAACCTCTGAAAAATTCTTCGTTTTGCTAAGAAAGATACTCTGTAACACTCTGTTGCCCAGAAAAATGGCTTCGTCTTCCCGCGGTTTGCTCACTCTCTTTCCCGACCTCAACGAGTCAACAAGAGAGATAACTGGTGCGGTGGCACTGGAACCTCAACCAAGCGCCTCGGAGTTTGCTCCGTTGAACTTTCCTATGCGGTCTGTGGAGCAAAGAATGGCAGTGCAGTCGGATGTGGAGGCCAATCAGTATACATTGAAGTCATGCGTGAAAACCATGACTGCGGTCACAAACTTGTCGCACCGGCTGCAGAGTAGGACAAATGAGGTGCAGCAGTTAAACGCCCAACTGGCTTTGCTCCAGCGCATGCATAAGGATGCGCGAGCAGAGATAAGTGTGCTAAAGGCAGAAAACAAGGAGCTGAAGCGGAAGGCCACCGTTATGTTCCGATTTGGAGGTCCGCCATATGCTGGAGTGGAGGAGCAGTGTGGAGTGATCGTGCCCAGTGGAGTGGGAAACACGGAGGCAACACCGTCAAGGGCCGCCCAGGACAGAGGCAAGAAGAAGAGACCGGCGGCAGAGTAGAGAAGGGATGTCGGGGGGTGGCCGTCTGCAGAAAAGAAAACAAAGCCGTTGGTGTTGTGTTTTTTGTTTTTTTTTGTTTTGTTTTGTTTTGTTTTTTTTTTTTTTTTTTTTTTTTTTTTTTTGTTTTTTTTGTTTTTTTTGTTTTTTTTGTTTTTTTTTTATGGGTAAAATTGTGATCGGGGTTGATCCCTGAGATGAATAAAATATGGTTTGGTGTGCAAAGTTATATGGTATGAATGAAATTTGAAAAAGATTAAAAAAAAAAAATGTGAAAGAAAAATAAAGAAAGAAATAATTCGGTTTTTTTTTTATTTTTATTTTTAATAATAATAATAATAATAATAATAATAATAATAAATATATATATGATAGATAGAAAAGAAAAGAAAAGAGAAAAAAGAAAAGAAATTGAAGAGAAAAAAGAAAAGAAAAGAAAAGAGATAGTGGGTGGTGCATGTGAGTAGTCTCGTGGGTGATAAGAAAAAGAGGGAGTGGGTGATATAAAACAAAGGAAAAGAAAAGAAAGTGGAAAAGAGTGTGAACAGATTGATGATGAAAAGGGGGAACCAACCCATGTGGGTGCAAAAGGTGAAGAATGGTTTAAAAATAAAAAAAAAAGGGTAGTGGATGATGGCATGCTATCAAATTTCAGATTTATCTCGTGCACTCCTTTTCAAGGACTCTATGTTGCCAATGAAGAAAGGAACTTGTTAATGATTCAATGGGGCACTTTTGAGACTCTAGAGAAGTGGGTTACGGGTGCTTATGCTGGTCATACCAGGTTGGGTTTCGAAGCTCACAAGGCGGGTCTTCAACTATGGAAGATAAGGAGGAGGAAGAGGGCCTTCTGTTGGCTCTGTTGTGGGGTTTCACTTGAGTCCTCCATCTGCTGTAGAAGACACTCTGGACAAGCTACCTACTGATGGAGAAGTAACTGAAGTTGATGCTCAGCGATGTTGATAAGGACGGGGATGGACGTATCAGCTTGGAGGAATTCAGCTCGATCAGCTCGGCGTTCGAGTCGCCGGCTTGCGACTCGGAGCCGTGAGAGGCGTTCGATTTCTTCGGCAGTGATCACGACGGTCGGATCACGGCGGAGGAGCTCCACGCGGTGTTCGCCGTTGTGGTGGCGGAAGACGACAGACTTTACTGGAATGGCGGAAGACGACAGACTTTGAAGTCCACAAAAAGAAATGAATATAGGTTGGATTCAATAGTTGATGATTTTGATGGAATGAACATGCATCCGCCAACTCCAATGCAGGGAGTATGTCCAAGTTGAAGGAACTTGTGAAGAAGCACTCTGATGGTCATTAGCTACCCAATATACCTCTGGACAGAGAAGACCACAGAGAAAGAAATTAGTGACGATGAAGACGAGGAAACAAAGAAAGAAGAGTTTCTGGTATGTGTTGAAAAACTCCAGCGGGCAGCGAAGGCAAGGTTGCCGGCCGGCTGCCCGCCGGAAAAAAGGAGTATAGGCCTAAATCTTATTGCTCTGATACTATGTTAAATTTGATGTATAAGGAAATAGAGAGAATGAATTATGTATTATTGATTGATGTATGTTATATATTACAATGATTCATGATTCCTATATATCGAAGAGGGTGACTGTGTAGTAGGTGAGGAGTAGGTGGAGAGTAGGTGAAGTAGGTGAGTGTGTAGTTGGTGGTAGTGGTAGGTGTGTAGTAGGTGAATTTTAACACATTTGTTGATTAGTTGTTCCATATCTAGTTTTACTATTTGTTAGAAGAGCACAATTATTTAACAATGGTGAGTATGCCTTGGTTCTCTACAGGCAGAGTGTGAAGAGCTACAAGCGAGGGTAGAGACACTGACCAATGAAAACTCCACACTCAGAGATGAGCTGCGGAGGGTTTCTGAGGAGTGCGAGAAGCTTACATCTGAAAATGATTCCATTAAGGTCTGATGCAACACTCTTTGAAATTTGGCCATTCATTTTGTCTTGTTAATGCTTTTTTTAAATGCATTTTTCAATGTCATTATTGTCTGGTGATATTTTCCTAATTTCAGATAGTTGGTGCTATATAGAAAAGAACTGCTCTAATTGTCCTTACCTTGTCACACTCTAGAAGCATTATCATAATAATTTCATCTTCACTTTATATCAAACTACTTCGACAAATTTGCAGCTGCTACTCCCACACTGCCCATGATGTTTTCCTTTAGGCTCGTATGTTTTTGCATCCATTTTTGTGTAATGATCAAACGAGTTCTTTTGCTCCCAGAAATGTCTATTGACAAACTATATGTGGATATTAGGATAATATAATTTCCTCTTTCCTTCATTAAAAAAAAAAAAATTATTGCCATGACTTTGTGTTACATATATTGTGTGGCCATCAACCATTGTCAATTGTCATGCTCCCTTCTCTTTCTTTTTATTATTATTGGTAATGAAGATGCGTTACATCTGTAGCTACAGTTTTTGTGTAAATATTTTCGTTTCTGATCTGAAAAGGTGACCAATTAATGACAAAAATGATTGTGCCACCGTAACAGGAAGAGTTAACTAGATTGTGCGGACCCAATGCAGTGTCTGAATTTGAGAATTGTAATGGTAACCAACTTCTTCAGTCCCATGGTGACGAGGGAAACAGATGAGATAGCTAGAGAGACTGCAAAGGAAAATGCCGTCCGTTTGCAGTTGGGAGGTTTTTACAAAATTCAGCAGGAAATTATGACTGTTAGCATTAACTAAACAATGTTTGTTACTAATCTACACCCTCAACCCTTCCACCCTTCCTTTTTCACTGTAACTGTAACATCTATTTTTGTGATTCTAACACGAGCCAGAGCTTTGATTAATGGACAGTGGTGTTGTAAAATTTATAATTTGAATGGAGAAATGAGAAGAGAGAGGCCTTGAAGGAACTGTAAACACATTGTCAATGTCTATCTTGTTGACTCTTCTTTACAATGTATATTTTTTGGGGGGAAAGTATGAGCTGCTTTTTTACTTATTAGCGTGAATTGTAAGGCCTTTTTAAAGATGAAGTTTGTATCGTGTCATTACTTCATAAATTTGAAGCGATGATAATTATTATTTGCTTCTGGTGTTATTGGATGCTCTCTATAATCGTGAGAAAGGACTATTGTCCTGACAATATTATTACTTGTTTTGAGTAGTTCACTTTTAGTCACTTTTTTTTGATTTGTAATAAAAGTTAAAAGTTGATTTTTTAATTTTTTTTATTTGAGAAGTTGGTTTTTAGTCAATGGTGAAATTACAATTCTATTCTTCATGGGTCAAAATGTATTACATGGATGAAGTTGTAAATATTTTAAACTAAACGAGGATAGTTTGGTCATTTTATTATGATTTGATATTATAAATAAATATTAATTAAAAAAGTGAAAAGCAACTTTTTATCAACTTGTTAAGGGGTTGTTTGGGATAAACTAAATAAGTGTACTTTTTGACTTTTTTTAAAATATGGTTTAATAAATATGGATTGGGTTTGAAATGATGTGGTGGAGAAGTGATGTGATTTAAATAAGACGATGTGACTTAAATAAGATAGTGATTTTTTAACTTTTTGATTTTTTTAAGTTATTCCAAACTAAGCTTAAATTATTTACCTAAAAAAGTAAAAAATTTGATTAAAAGTCAAAAATTTATTTTTTACCATCTCTCTCAAATAGGCATATATTGAGCAGGATTTTATGCCCTAGGTAACAATGTTTTATTATTTTTTGATTGTATATATTTTTTAATTTTGTTTACTGTATAGAGTCATTCGGAATTTATGTTGAATATCCCAAAAACAAATAAAACATGAAACCTAAGATAATTAAGGTCACTTGATTTCATCATATTAGAGTTTCATCAAAATTCAAAAGTCCATATGAAGGACAACACCAACTGAAACTAAAATTTAAAAGAAAAAAAAGAAAAAAATATATTATTATTATTAATTTGCAAATTTGCTAACACCTCCAAGCCGACGTGGCAACGAGGGGCCGGTCTTGCCAGCACAGCACCATCTCCGCTTGCTGCTTCGCCACGTGGAATCCCCTGAGCTGTGCTTTCCTCAGCAAACAATCAGCTTGAAAGTCCGCAAACTGGCTCAACCCCACCGCTCTCAACCCCGCGGCGGCGAACGCCTCCCTCCACGGCGGCGCCCTCCTTCCCGCCGCCTCCACCGCCGCAAAAATCTTCGGCCGCATCATAAACATCTCAATCCTCCGAATCCAATCCTCGCCTCCGCCGCCCACACTCGCCGCTTCCACCGATTCCAGAACCGTCGAGTAAAATTCGAGCCCCTCGATCACACTCCGCCGGAACGACGGCGCACCACCACCGTATGTCAGCCCTTCACCGTCCACGATCACAACCACGTGCGGCGAAATCTGGCGAAGATCGTTGAGAAATTTGACACCCATTCGTTGAAAGATAATTGGAGATAACACAACAGCGGTCTTCTCTCCTTCCATGGATTTGATTGCTTCGAAGGATAAGATTTCGAAGGTTCGAATCGAAACGAAATCGATTTCGAATACGATTTTGAGCTCACTAGCGAAGTGGTTCAGGTTATCTCTCACCAATCTCGATTCGACCGCGTACTCTTCAGGCACAATTGCAGTGATTCGAAGAACCGGCGTGTTGGATTTACGAGACTCGGCCGAGTCAGCCACTTCCTTCATGAACGAAGCCCACTGGCCTCCGAAGCCGATGTCGAAATCTACGACGTGGATGAACTTCGACCCGTCTAGGGCTTCGAGGATTGCTTGATTGGCGGTGAAATTGGAGAACATGACAATCGGAGAGACGTTGGAGAAGTTCTTGTGAGCTTTGATGGCTTGAACGACTTCCGAGGAATCGGAAGGGCGAGTTGGGCTAGTCGACCCAGTAAGCATAGTCTGCAGAGCTTCTTTGAAGTAGAAAGCAACTCTCTGGAGCGGTTTTCCAGCTGGAGATTGGAGTTTCTGGTTGAGCCGCGCCAATATCACGTGCGCGAGTTGTAATTCATTGGATTCAAAGCAATCCGCAGCTCGAATAAGCTCGTCCACGAAGTTGAACCCATCATTGTTCCAGTGGTTCATGTGATGAAAATCGCTGCAGAGATCAAAAGAATTGAAATTCTGGTTCAGATTTTGATTGGAAGAGACTTCAGAAAGTCCGAAATGGGTATGGGTTGAATCAAAGGAGTGGGAAAGTGGGAAGTCAGGGAGGAGGACTGGGAATTGAGTCTCGGAATGATCGAATTGAGGAACGATTGATTTCAAAGCAGGGGCACAAGAGTCGTCGTGCAATCCCAATTCTCTCATCAACGAGTCCCACTCCTCAAAGTTGTTCAGTATTTGGTCGTCTTCCCACTGAACAGAACCGTCCTCCGACTGTAACAAAGCATCCGAAAAACCGGACTTGGGGACTTTCTTATCGGCCACGGCGACTGAGCTAATGGGGCTCTGGCTCCGGCGGAGGTCTAGCACCGACTTAGGCTCGTAACACAAGTTGTTGGTATCGGCCGTTGAGCTGTTAAACCTTGTGTTCCGAGCACTACTGTTTTGTTGTTTATTGTTAGAAGATTGGTGGCTTTGGGCTGAGATAAACGGAACTTTCATCTCTCTCTCCTCTTCTCTTCTCTTCTCTTCTCTTCTCTTCTCTTTCTCACTCTATAGGTACAGGGAAGATGGGGGTGGTGGAGGGAGGGAGAGAAGAGGGGAGGGAGGTGGGCCTTTAATCTTTGCGTGCATGGAGGAGTGGATGATATGTGATTATATGTATGTATTTATATATATATATATATGAGTCATGATGCGAGTTAAAGTTATTATATGAGAGAGAGAGAGAGAGAGAGAGAGACTTTTCTTTGACATATATGAGAGACATTGGTGGACAATAATGCATTCGCGACACGAATGTGGAAGCTTCTTATTGAAGGCTTTAAAAAGACCGACTTTGTTTTTACTATTTTGTTAACTGCTTTCTTTGATTCTCCTCAAGTGTGGTTGGTTTTGTTTTATGAGCTGGTAACGCACTACGTCGATTTTACTCGCTTGCCCAGATTTTCACCGTGAATAGAATTGTAATATTAGGGGTAAATATGAGAATAGCAATATTATGAACTCGTATTTGTTTATTCAGAAATTATTATTTTATAATTCATATTTATTTTATACATAAACACTATATTACATAAATTTAATTTTCACTATATATAATTATGGATAAATTACAAATACACTCCCTGAGATTTGCTTAAAATACGAATTATCCCTTATGGTTTGAAAAATTACAAAAATACCTTCCTATTAGAATTTTTTATTTAACAAAATTAATTAAAAAAGTGAAATATCTAACTGTTCACCTATACAATAATAAAATTATCTAAATTATTAATTGAAATAAAATTTTAACATTATTAAAAACTGTTAATTAACTTGATGATTTATTAATAAAAGGACTCATTTATTATGAAATTAAAAATATTAAGGGACATAATGTAATTTCTAAAACTACATAGAGTAATTTATAATTTAAGTAAATCTTAAGGGATGTGTTTGTAATTTATTTTATAATTATTCACTTAAAAAAATTGAGTGGATAAATCTAGATTTTCAAATTTATTGATATGAGAACGTGGCATATTTTGGGAATAAGGTTAGAAGTTAGTTTATTGACTTTTAGATTTTTTTTTTTTTAAAATCACATTATTATTTTTATTTTTTTTAAAAAAAAAAATTAATTTTTTTCATTTACTTCACGAAATAAACTTACGTGATGTGAACGAAGTTAAAAAGTAAGATGTCAGGACGCTTATGTCATCTTATTCCAGTGGCATTTTTAAGTGGGGATCTCAACGTGGACTATCCACAGTTAATAGTGAGAGTCTGCTTAGTTTGAATTTTCTGAAATAAAAGTTTTTTAAAAATTGAATTTTTTAATTTTCGTATTTTTTTATTTTTAGTGAATATTTTTAAAATTTTAAATATTTTTTTTTACTTTTTTAGATGTGCCTTATTTAGATATATTTAAAAAGTAAAAAAAATGTAAAAAAATATTTTAAAAAAGTAAGAAATACATAAAAATATACAAAATGTACTAAATTTTTGTATTTTTGGTATTTTGTGAATTTTTAAAAGATTTTTTTTTATAAATTTTTTACTTTTTAGGTGTATTTATGTTAGGTGTGTCTAAAAAGTAAAAAATTTGCAAAAAATATTAAAAAAATTCAATAAAAACAAAAAAATACGAAAAATAATAAAATAGAATTTTATGAAAACTGTTTTTAGAAAAATGAAACCAAACATAGCGATTATTATTTTTATATGGTGATGTTTTACAAATAATAATACTAAGATCAAGTTTGGCAACATCAAAATAATTTGAGCCGTGTTGGGGACCCGTAGTTGGGGGTGACCCCCAGCACCCCCACTCCACGTGGGAGGCTGTGGACCAAGGGAAAATAAAAAATAAAAATAAAAATAAAAATTCAACCAATCGCGTGCCGCCACATCAGTTGGGGGTCACTGGGGGTCTTCAAAACTAGGGGTGCAAATCATTTTTCAAATAATTTATCTTTTTATTTTTTTTCATCACATCACCTCTCTACTTTTCTGCACATCTTTTCGTAAAAAGATAAAAAATACACTTATTTAGGTCATCCCGAACAATCCGTAAATGGAGGATTCTCCATAGTTCAAATTTTAGATTAGAAAACGTTGTTTGGGTTTATATGGCTTATCACGAAATTTATTTTGATGACTTAAATTGTTTATTCTGTCAAAAATTTCACATATTTTATTCACATAAAAATTAAGTTGATTCGATAATTGTAATTTGTTGAATAAGCATTTGTTGCTAAAATAATATATGATTTATTTTTTAAAAATATAATTATTGTCAAATTTTTTAGTAAAAAATTAAATAAGTTACAGTTATCAGATCGACTGGAGGGGATCCTCCAATACCAAATGGTTAGTTTGGAATAATAATACTTCAATAGCATTTAATAATTTTATTAAATAAGTTACAGTTATCAGATCGACTGGAGGGGATCCTCCAATACCAAATGGTTAGTTTGGAATAATAATAGCATTTAATAATTTTTCTTATAGTTATTTTGTCTTTTATTTTTAAACTACTTTAATAGTGTTTGTCTTTATTATATATATATTTTAATTTTTTAAAAAGTATTATATATTCTACAGGTAAATGTTAGTTATAAAGAATGTGCAAAATAATAATCGTTCTTAATACATACTTTAAAGACACATGTTAACATTTTTCATTTAAAAAAAATATACATATATATAGTTACCTGCTATTATTGAGTTGACACCCCAGATCAGATCTGTAACTGACTTCTTGAGCTAACATTTTAGTAGAAATTCCAGTGAAAGATCACGTAATTCTATGCACAAAGTATTTTATTATTATTTAATATTATCCATATATTTCTTGATCATAGAACTACATAAACTCTTATTATATTATTAGATAGACATACCATTCCATTAAAATTTTCGAAACATTAAGAACTCATTTAATAACGTTTTTATTTACAGTTTCTTATTTATATTTATATAATTTTTGATAATTATAAATAAAATTTTGTTTGATTTTTATTTTCATTTTTAAAAAGTTTGTAACTTCAAAAAAATTGGTTTAACTTGTTTAATTTTTTTTCCATTTCTTCCTCTCTGTACCGCCAACTATGTGCTATTGGTGGCAACCACTTTTGAGGCCGACTACCATCTCCAACCATCGGTAATTAACTTTGATCATCACTTTTCACGGCCAACAACCATATGTGGCCACCACCAATCACCTCACATAAGTGACAATTTTCTTCAGTCACCACTTCTAAGATTGACAATTACCTTCCGCTATCACTCAGTTTTTTCAATTTTTATTTTTAACTGTCGACAATCACCTCTCATAATCATATTTTTCATTTATTTTTTAAATATTTATTTACCAAATATATATTAATTTTAATTTAAAATGAATAAATAATGAACTATAAACACTATCAAACCACACCTAAATAATAATTCTGAGTTTATGCATACACGACACGACCACGTATTTTTATTCTTGTATTATTGAGCAGAGTCGGTGAATGGTGGGGAAAGACCACCTAATATCTATCTACTGAAACCGACAAACCCAGGTCAAATTGCGGCCGTAAAGTTCCATTATTGCATTGCGTTGCTTCACCCTTACTCTTCCTTTATATTGTGTTTGGGTGGTAGGTTTGAAAAAAATTTAAAATAATAATAATAATTAGAAGTAAAATATAAATAAAATATATTTAAATATATTTTTTTATTTTTATTTTCAAATCTCTTCTCAAATCCCCAACAGAAATAGAGTCCCACACCACCCCACCCCACAAATCCTTTAAAAATTAATTTTGTAAAAAAATTAAAAACACTAATTATTTTTATATAAATTTATTTTTTAGTAAATAAAAATAAATTTTAAAAATATTTTTTATATTTATTTTCATCAAATTAAATTTTATTTTTTGAAACAAAAATCAGAAAATAATTTTATAAACACAAACCAAACATAACATTTCTGTAAAAATTTAAATTAATTTTACATATAAAATATATTGACTCAACTTTATTAAATAGTTGATAAATAAAGAATTACTGATCTCTTGGTATGTATTGTAATTATGTTACTACATAGTTATTTAGAAGTATCAAATAATTTTTTCCCCTTTAATATAGTCAAAAATACAACTATACAAACACCACCTTAGCTTTTTCTTACCGAGTGAACTTGACGCAGACTAACCTTTGATTACCACAGAAAGTCTGTCATGATTATATATTCAAAAGACAAATCTTCAAAAAGTTTGGGCTGTTGATTATATGTAACTTGGTGTTGAAACAAATTTTCAGATGCCTCCAATCCAATGTAAGAACCGTTCATTTCCTTTTCTCTTCAATGCCTTTTTCTTTTTATTAGTCTAACTAATCTTTATTTGACAGTTTTAGTGCAACTACTTTAGACGTGTTGTACATGTATTTTTTTTACCCTAACTTGCAAGTTGCAAGTCCTTTGTTCACTTTTGCTTCTTTCTTTCAAGCATTTTTATCAGTTTAAGTACAGCAAATTCAAGCTTTTTTTGTGAAAGGATTACTTGAATTTGGTATTTGTCGATGGAGGAAAGCGAATCCAATGTACTATACCCACTTTACAACATATATCATCGATGTAAAAAAAAGAAAGTTAAAAGATTTCACACCATGTCATATCACCTTTTATAGTGATTTTTTACTTCATTAGGTGAAACTATTTGGTTAGATAATCATAATAGATCCTTTATGAAGAGGGTCAAATTAATCTAGCAAGGCTGGATTGGGCTTAGAGTTGAGTTCTTTACCTAGCAAGATCAACAGCGGGCTGGGCAAAGGATTCTAACCAAGATCCTATGGCGAGTTGAATAAGGCTTAACTCGTCTGGACTTACACATCATATGAAACCTCAAGAGATTTTATAAAATCAACATGAGAATGTTCTATTTCATCATGGAATAACATATTGTCTTGTGGATATTTGACATAACATAATGGTGGTTCTCCTTTCTAAGAATAAGCATGACCCAATTAGGGGCACCGCGAGACAGTTATGCTCAAGTGATTTTTGGACAACAAGAGAGGAAAACTCTGTAGAAGGGATACCTCGTCGTCTTTCAATGGGATACACATTTTTTGTCACAACTCTATATTCAGACAAATATCCAGTCAAGCAACAC